TGAGACCCTGGCGGTAGGGGAGGCCGTACTTGTGGGGGAAGAGAAGGACGGTGTCGATGAGAGTGGGGTGAACGATTCTGACAGCGTTCAGGTCGTTCTCCAGGCCGTGGCCGATGAGAGGTGTGTTGGGGCTGATGAGGGAGAAGAGGAGGTCGCGGGCGACCAAGGGGGAGGAGACAATCTTCATTGTCTTCTTGGGCTTCTTGTTGTTGTTGTTGGCCATTTTCTTGGCCTGAGCGGGAGTGGGGTCCTCTTCCTTGGCGGACCAGGGTGCTGCATTAGCCATGTCCTCAGGCCAAACCCCGGAATAGCGCGAGTTGAGATCCAGGATCTCACCGACAGGTTGCACGAGCACATCCAAAAGCTCTTCACCGGTAGGCCAGGCAGTGGCGGTGAGACGGACCAACTCCAGGCCGTAGACAGTGTAGCACATCTCGCAATCGAAGGCGACGGCTCTGTCAGCGGGAACATTGGGGTTGGCGGGCGTCTCGGCGAAGTTGAGGACGGTGGCAAGGCGCTTGGGGTCGGAGGCCTTGAAGACGTGGTGAGGGACGGTGTAGCAGCCGGCCGAGTCTCCTACGGCCTGGCCGCAGCAGCGGTACCGCTTGGGAGTCTTGGATCTGTCGCCGAGCTGGCGCTCGGGGAAGTACGTCTTGCCCCAGTGGTAGGTGCACTTGCCGCCCGAGGCGAGCGCGCCGTCTTCCTCGCGTCTGCCGGGGAACATCTGGAAACGCTTCTCACAGCGATCGCATTTCTCCCAGCCCTTGGCGGCTTCGAGACCCTGGCGGGCCTTCTCGACGTCGGCTTCACTGGGGATGGAGGAAACGTAGCCGTGGTTGGCGAGACCGTCGATGGGGGTGATGAGATGACGGACGAGCTGGACTTCCTGGGCCGGCGTCAAGCCCGTGACCACCTTCTTGGGCGAGGCGAGCAGCTTCTTGTGGGGGCCCTTTGGGCTTTGCTGGCGACGCTGGACGACTCTCTCCTCCTTCCACTGCAGCAGCGTCATCTTCTTGTACTGCATGATTTTGTTTTTGAGGACGTTTCCGTAGATGGCGTTCTTCTCGATGGCGGTGTTCTCCTCTTCGTCGAGGGTTCTCCAGATAAGGTCTTGGTCCGTAAGGACGAGCTGCTTCTCGTCGTCGTCTTTTGCGGTTTTCTTGAGCTCGTTGTTGAGGCGAGTATACTCTTGGTGTAGCAACTGCGCTAGCTTGAAGCGAGTCTTAAACTCCGCTGGAGCTTTGATGCCTTTGAGTAAGCGAGGGTTGAGAGCTTCAGGTTTTCTGAGCTTGGGTGGCGGCTCCTTGGATGGGGTTGAAGGAGTGTAAGGTGAGGTAGAAGTAGTGGTGTTGTCGTGAGAGACTGAAGTTGCTTTTGACTTTGGGGTGGAGGCAGACGTGCCAGTAGTAGCAGTTGGGGTATTGCCAGTAAGTGAATCAAGCTTCCGCTTAGGTGGGTGATTACTCGATGATAAAGGAGAGGACTTTGAGTGATTCAATGAGTTGTTGGGATGAGACGAAGGAGTTGAAGCGAGAGAAGGGACAGCAGGGTGAAGATGAGTGCCCTTCTTCACAGTCGAGACAGGCCTGGGGGAAGAGGCGGTCTGGCGATTTAAAGGTGGAGGAGAGATGGGGCGAGCGACAGCTGACAGAGTGTCATCTGGTCTCGGTGCCGTTGTGTCTTGTTTTGAGGCGGTTTTGACAGGAGTAGGAGTTCTTACAGAGACGGCGGGGCCGCTGACGTCTTGGGCAACCTTCGGACGTTTTCGAGGGCCATCCTGGGTTGCATTCGTCGAGGCATCAGTCGACGTCTGGGCCGACGTTCCTGACTTTTTGAGTGCCGGTGCTGATGTGGCAGCCATCTTATCCCTGTCTTCTTTATGCTGGAAGAGGCACTGGAATGCAGTACACTTGTCTCCGGCGGGACAGGGGATGTGTTTGAGGTCGACAAAGGACATTGTGACAGGAATCTTTGCTTTCAACGGGAATAGAAGTACAAGAGGCTAGCGCGAAGAGACCGTGACGTGGCGGTCAAGAGCAGGAGCAGCTTGGCGGCTCTTGCTGTTGCAGCTGACGTGCTGAGGACGACGAATACAACAAACAGAAGGTATCGTGGACTTGTGTGGAAGGACCTTGCCTCCCTAGTGTCGACATCTACTTGAGGCAAGAGCTCCAATTGAGATGCGGTGAGGTGTGGTGCGGTGAGAGGAACGGAAACGGCGTGAGCTTTGGGCCTAGCCTGGCGGGAGGAACCAAGTTCCAAAGCAATGCAATGCAGAGGCGGTTGTAAGGGAGATGGAGCCAAAATGAGTGAGATTGTATTCGTATGTGCGTGAGCCGATTAAGGCCTCGAAGATCCGGGGGAGCGGACCGACGATCTCATAGCCAAAACCGCAGCCGGACCAGTCTCTGCAGTTGGCAGCGTCGCAGTCGGAGAATTCGGGGAGCCACGGGCTAGTGTCTAAAGATGGCCAGGGCGAGGCTGACACAGGAATGATGCGAGATTGGCAAGATTGGGTGACCATCAACCGTTCAGCGTTTTTTCAAAAGGGGGGCAGCCACACCAGGACATCGGAAACGTTCATGGCATAAAGGTGGGAGGGTTTGGGACAGTGTCACAGATGGTTGATGTGTCTCAAATGCGGTCGGAGTTGGGATGAAGAGAGGCTCCGAGCGTCCAAAAAAGCTTATGTAAGACTCTAACTTTGGCTCCCACCTCAGTCACCCATTCACGCCAGTGTACATAGTAAGTAAGGTCCATGGATGGCGGCGGGGCGAACCGTACAGGGATGTGGCTGGCGGCGGTCCAGAAGCCAGCATCGTGCGGCTTTCAACATTCCAACGTCCGGCGGAATGAATCCCAATCGCGTCAACTGCGTGCTTCCGAGAGGGGAGACATTGTGTTCTTTTGGGCAGACTGCAGAGTCAGGAGGCCAGTCGTCTTTCTTCGTCATTTTCCTTCTTCTTAGCTCATTACCGTGGAGATGGACCGCCGGGCTGAGTCATGATCTGCCGGTCATCTCTTGATCTCTCTGTTTGCTTGCTTCTTCCATTTTCCGTCAACGGCCATAATCGTCAGAGATGGAGAGCAGCTTCGCACATTCACATCATCATTTGCTGCGTCATGCAACCCGGAGCAACCAACGCGCGTCAAATGCGTGCTAATCGATGTGGTGCACACGAACGTCGTCCTCCCCTCATTCTCCTCAACATTGATGTGATTCAAGGGGTGGTAGGTCGATATCCCCTTGAAGGTCTTATCGCGGGAGATCCAGGCACGCGAACTCTATTTCGTCTACCGTCTCATGTCCAGTCTTGAAGGGAAGCACACAGACATGGCAGATAAGGGCCGACATGGACGCCATCGGACGTATCTAGCGCCATGGCCAATCTCTCCCCCTTCTCGACTCCGGCCTGCTCAATCTTGGCTTCCTCCTCCGGCCGCTCGACATCCAAGACACCTGTGCCACCGCACCCTTCTTATCTTGACGGCGCCCAAGCAAGCACAATGACAATCTTGTGCGACGCGCAGGCTGGCATGTGACCGAAGCCCCCTGCCTGTGCTCCATTGCTTCTTCTCCCTTCTTGCAGGCCATTCATATTCCCATTGAGCGGGTGCCGCAACACCGATTCGAACGAAGCAAGTGCGAAGCCCGTCCATCTACTCGTCGTTGATAACGGCTGTGCGGTATCTCAGCCCCGGCGGGTGCTAGTGGCACCAAGCCGTCGAGCACAAGCTGGGCAGCCCTGGCCTCAAGGATGGACTTTCCTATCGCGGCGCAACGGTTGGGTAGAAACCCATGGCGGTGAACGGGGGTTTACTGAGAGTGAGGGGCGAGCAGCTTCCATCATCTATCGAGAAATCGTTATCTACGATGTAGATCGGACCTACGTCCGCGCAGAGGGGCATCTGGGCTTCTGCGAGTTTCCATCTCGAATGGGGCTATAAATGAAGCACTCGCACCCCGCCATTGAACAGGTTGGAGAGTGATTGAGAGAATTAACGAGTCGCAATATCTCGGTGGTTTTCGCACAAACTTGACTTTTCCGACGTCAAGACAGACATCAACCCTCTGCTGCTTGTATGCGATTGAACAAAGGGGATCCCAGCAGCACAACTCCATTGTCGACCAGCTGTAGCTGCTCCAGCCCTGTCGACTAATACCGTCACCACTCAGCGCTGCGAGCTGTTCGTTCCATCAGACCGCGACTCCACGGACTGAGGTTCGGCTCAGGAACCCGACCTGATCGTGCAGACAACCTGCAAAGAGAAAGTCGCCCAACCCAACCAAGGAGATCGATCCCACGCCGTTCCGTCACATTTCAGTGTTGCCTTACAGACTGGAGCCGAGCTTCCACAATCATCCGCAGCCGCGGTCCCGCGCTGGAGCCTAGGTAGGTACGGACACCTACAAACGAACGACCAATTGTCGCGTGCGCGCATTCCAATTGCGTTTCGACTATCCACCATCCACCACCAGCAGTGCGCCCAATTGGCACCACCCGACGGGAGATAGCGGACGCGGACCAACTTCCACCCCTAGAGCCACGCGGCGCACGGCACCAACCACACCAATAGCGCGCTGGAGCACACCACCCAACGGCCCATCCATCGCCTTATCTCCCCTTAAGTCCACCTACTACGCAGTACCTTAGTAGCCTGCAGCGCCCGGTGTTAGTGTCATCGAATCTCCCCCATCCCCGGGAGTCGCTGCGCTGCAGGGCGAGGTGAGGCGAGAAACAGACACTGGACCAAAAAAAATACCATCTGAAAAAGTCCAACAGTCCACCATCCGAGGCGGCGGGATTCAGCTCCCCCGGTCGGACTGTGCGGACTTTCCGTTGGAGGGACTCTTTTGTGGCTCGCCCCGAGAATATTAACTCGGCCCGCGTCCCACCAAAAGAGCGTCCCTTCGACCCCCAACATCCCACTTACAAGAAGCGTTGTTGCCATTCTCCCTTCGCTCTATTGACCGGTCCCTGATCTCATCAAGCTACATAATGGATTACACCGGCGGCACCGTGGAGGCCGATCATCTCTGCGTACTGGTCCACGGGGTTCGTTCCTCCATCCTTTTTTCTGTTTTCCTCCCGCCAGCACACCGTTCCCAACGTTTAAGTGCTGACACCGGGCGGCTCCTGGCTCCTGGCTCCGGCAAACCCGTTGGCTGGTGGCGGCGACGTCATGATCTGCTGCAGCGTGTAGTGCACCTTGATGCTAACGTGCGACCCGTAGCTTTGGGGTAACCCCAACCACATGGCCCAGATCGCCAAAAGCCTGCGCGCAAAACACTCCGCCGACAAGCTCTACCTGCTCCTCGCGAAGCGCAACAGCGGCTCCTTCACCTACGATGGCATCGAGCGCGGCGGCGAGCGCGTCTGCGCCGAGATCGAGGAGGAGCTGCGCGCCATCCAGGAAAGGGGCGGCAAGATTACCAAGCTGAGCATCGTGGGCTACTCCCTCGGTGGCCTGGTCTCGCGCTATGCCGTTGGACTGCTTCACTCAAAGGGCATCCTCGACACCGTCGAGTGCATGGTGAGTTCCTCATGTCACACGCACTCACTCACTCACCTACCACAACAACAACAACACCATCATCCGCACCCACACTCTCACCGCAAAATCGCTGACTCCCGCTACAGAACTTCGTCACCTTCGCCACACCGCATCTCGGCGTCCGCACCCCCTTGCGCGGCTGGCACAACCACCTCTGGAACGTCCTCGGCGCCCGCACCCTTTCCATGTCGGGCCGCCAGCTCTTCACCATCGACAACTTCCGCGACACGGGCCGGCCCCTGCTCGCCGTTCTCGCGGACCCGGACTCCATCTTCCTCGCCGGCCTCAAGCGCTTTAAGCGCCGCACTCTCTACACCAACATCGTCAACGACAGAAGCGCCGTCCACTACACCACCGGCATCACCAAGACGGACCCCTACACGAATCTCGACGGCATCAAGGTCAACTACGTCCCGGGCTACGAGGACGTCATCCTCGACCCGAAGCACCCGATCGCCCCGCGACCCAAGCTCTCCGGCGGCTCCCGACCGACGCTGTCCTCCGTCGCCTCGTGGGCCCAGCGCATCCCCTTCGTGCTGGCCATCTCCGTCTTCGTGCCCATCGGCATCGTCGCCTTCCTCTTCAACTCGGCGATCCAGACGGTGCGCTCCTCGAAGCGCATCCAGCTGCACGAGAAGGGGCTCGCGGGCGTTGCCATCGAGGAGTACCGCGGCCCGCTGTGGATGAAGGAGATCCGCGAGGAGGTCGAGCACGTGTACGAGACGCTCAACAGCTCGCAGGACCAGGAGTACCTCGGCAGCGAGACGGACGACGACGAGGACGACGCGGGCGCGCGCGAGATGGACCGCAGCACGACGCAGTTGCTCGCGCGCGAGAGGCGCATGTCGGTGCCCTCGCAGCCGACGCTCGCGCTCGCGCCGTACCAGTTCCAGATGGTCCAGAACCTGGACGCCGTCGGGTGGAACAAGTACCCCGTGTGGATTCACAATGACAGGCACAGTCACGCGGCCATCATTGTGAGGTGGGAGAAGAAGACGTTTGACGAGGGGCGCGTGGTGTTGAAGCACTGGTTGAACGAGGAGTTTACGATCTGACGACGGGTTCGGTAGTGTTCGGTTCTACTTGGAGTTGGGAGCGTTGATTTATGGTACATATCTACTCCCCAGGGAGGCGAAGACCTTTTTGTATAAGAATACTTCGTGTAATATATTTATATTTACGAACCCACTGCTCACTCATGAGAGTATATAAGCGAAGCGGACTACCCTCTCTCAACAACGCAAGGGCAGTAATAGCCACCGGTGAGGCTACCGTCTTCGGCGCTGGGACAACAGAGTCCATACAGTCAAGCCCCGAAGAGAAGGACAGTTCGATGCCACCGACCTCCTACTTCAGCGCAGTGTATTCTCTCATCCTCAGTTGATTCATCTAGAATGCAACGAAAGTGCGGAGGGACGCCAGAGATGGTTCCAAGCCCTCCTCAGCGATTCGCTCCGTCCGTGGCACTCTCCAGATACCTATCGCACCGCCTTGATTCTGTCTATATTCCCGCGTCAACACAGATATTGACCAGTTTGTTTAACTTCGTAATTGAACGCGTTTGTTTGCTTTTGTATAGCGCACTGATATCCAAGTCCTAAGTATCCCCAGCAACAACGCGCCACTCTAGGGTATGCTCTGCACCGCAAAACAGGCAGTCAAAGGTCACTGGCCAGAATAGGGCTTGAAGACTGCTATCAAACTGCTGTCCTCGGACAGGCATTGCTCTCGAATGGTATTTAATCAGGTGGATTAGTTTTGATAACGACTCAGGGCAACCAAATATACTTCAGGGAACCTGTTGCGTGTTTAGGCATCGTGACTACAACCCATAGTTCGACTACTGAAGTGCTGGAAACATTCTGCTGCTCACAACCTCCCGCAATACGTAATCTACTTTTCTCATCCTGAGTTGCTTCATTTATCATAACAAGAAACCAGAGAGGGACGCCGGGTGACGATGCTGAGTTTTCCAGGCATCCGCACCGTCCAGACCCTCTTTACATAACTTCTCTATCTCACGGGTATGCTTCAGTCCAAGTAGTCTCACATCAAGCCACACATTCTTGCCCTCCGAAACCAATAACGGGGAAGAATCTCTAGATTTTATATATCTCGCCAACATCGAAGTGGGATACCGTTCCCGCGAGCCCGAATTGTCTATCCAGTCTACCACTCGAACACAAGACCCAGATCTAAAGATCATTGAACGAAGCGACTTGAGGCCTGACATCAAACACCGTCGTATGAGAATCTGCCTTTATTTGCTGTCATCCATTTCTGTGACAAGTGTATTCATGACGTATAAGCCCAGCTTGATCACAGGAGGGGTCAATGAACAGCTCCAATCGTGGGGACAGCGCCTCCCCTTCCCACTCGGACGAGCAACTCATCGATTTCTCTGAGGTCAAAGTTCAATAACTAAAGAGTCTTCACATTCACCTAATTGCTCTGTGTTTTCCAGACATCCGATCCTCGCGGTTTAAATACTCATGGCCCGAACAGCTTTGATACTGTGAGACTATCTCATTAAGCATAACTAGATTTTCAGCTGCACATCGGCATTGCATGCCTCAGCGCCGGTCTAGGTTTACGATTTGGTCACTGCAAAACAAACGTAACATGTCGGTGGGATATACGTTGAGTTCATTGTTAAGGCGACCACTTACATCAACAAACCTACACCCATCCTAAGTCTTGAACTCTGGACGCAACAAAAAATTTACATCATAGCAACCATAAACATCATCCAAAAGACCCATCACCAACCAACACCGCCTCAAACCTACCTCCCTCTTCCCTCCCACGCCCCCATCGCAAACCGCACCCCACCCCATCAACCGCCTCGCTTACCGGCATCGCAAGAAGCACAGACCACCACCAAAAAACCAAACCCAATCCCCCGGCCCGCGCTATCCCCAACGCAGCTCCCCCTTCCCACCCCGGCATCAGTCAAGGGTCCTCCCAGCGGCTGTCCCCACCTTTATCAACCAACCCTGGAGTCCCCTTTTGCGATTACGTAGTGCAGACGAGGCAGGTACGTGCACGGCTGGCAATGTAATTTAGGTAGTCTTTGAAGTGAACCTACCTTAGCCTTTCAGCTTCATTGGAGGGCTGGACAAGGAGGGAAAAAAAAGGTCAATTGCGTCGTCGACGGGTCATCTCCCGCGTCTTGCTTTATTGAGAGCACTGAGAAATAATCGAAGCAACAGAGTTGGTGTTCATCAACATCACGAGTATTTCCTTGGTCAGCGCAACGGAGTGAAGAAGACACACACTAGGTAGATCAGCAGAAATGAGGACGTCACGCCTCTCAAAGGAGACTTCCGCCATCTTCAAAGCCAGCACCTCGCCGCCCCCGACGCGCCGGACGACGCGCTCCTCCCTCGCCCGGTTCGCCTACACGACCGACTCCTCGGCGCCCGACACCACTCTCCAGAACATCGTTCTCGGCAACGACATCGAAGATGCCGTCACGAGCCCGCCTCTCAAGAAACGGAGGAGGGTCGCGGCGGCGGACGACGTTCCGAGCGCCGCCGTCAAGGTCGAGACCGAAGCAGCCGAGGTCACGTCCACGAAACCTACAAAGCCCAAGAGGGAGAGGAAGCCAGCGCGCGTGATCAAGGGCGAGGACATCCGCGTGGAGCCGCCCTCTGACTGGGAGGAGATGTACAACCAGGTCAAGGAGATGCGTCTCCACGGCGCGGCGAAGGACGCGGCCGTGGACACGATGGGCTGCGAGAGACTGTTCCATCCCGACGCTTCCGAGCGGGATAGGCGGTTTCACATCCTCATTGCGCTGATGCTTTCGAGCCAGACCAAGGACACGGTGAATGCCGTGGCGATGAAGAGGTTGATGACGGAGCTGCCTCCGCATAAAGAAGGCGCGGAGGGTGGTTTGTGCCTGGAAAACATCTTGGCTGTGGAACCGGACAAGTTGAACGAGCTGATCTGGGCGGTTGGCTTTCACAATAACAAGACCAAGTCAGTAACCATGGGTCATGACCTCGCAAAACAATGTTGACGGTATTAGGTATATCAAAGCCGCGGCCGAGATCCTTCGCGATAAGTTCGACGGCGACGTTCCCGACACCATAGAGGGATTGACATCTCTACCGGGCGTAGGTCCGAAGATGGGATATCTGTGTCTCTCGGCGGCGTGGGACAAGACGGAGGGTATTGGCGTGGACGTCCACGTGCACCGCATTACCAACCTCTGGGGCTGGCACAAGACAACGCAGCCTGAAGGGACGAGAATGGCATTGCAGAGTTGGCTCCCGAATGACAAATGGCGTGAAATCAACTGGCTGCTTGTCGGCCTCGGACAGACTGTTTGCTTGCCCGTCGGGAGAAAGTGCGGAGATTGCCAGCTCGGATTGAAGGGCTTGTGTAAGGCGGCGGAGAGGAAGAAGGTAACCGAGGGTCGCAAAGCGAGGGAGGTTAAGGTCGAAGTCGGAGACGATACAGTCATCAAGACGGAGGAGATTGTCGAAGAAGTCGTGAAGAAGGAGGTCGTAGAACCGACAGGCGTGCCGGTGCCGGAGGTAGCGCCGGAAGCGAGTGAGCTGGTCGGAGCGGGAGCACCGAAAAGGAGGCGCGGAAAAGTAGCTTGACGGCGTGTGAACGTGATCCGATAACGAGGGATCGCCTGTGAATCAAGTCAGTGAGCTCAGCGGTGTTTCCGTAACCATCATCTTGCTACACTCGCGCGCGTCAGCCCAGGGGATGCAGCAGGTCCAATGAATGACTCTTGGGACGACGGCAGTCATATCCGACCGAGGTGCCCGGGGCTTGCCTGCCTCGCTTCGGGCATCGGTGGAGAGCGGGCCCGAAAAGTTCGGAGGAATTCCGATTTCGAGGGGGCAGCGGAAGTGCAATGCATGCCTGGGGGCGGTGTCATTGAAAAAAGGTAGCCAAGGTGCACTGTGCAGCGGACGGAGAAGGCGGTGGAAGAGGGGGCGAACTGAATAGCGAAGCAGCAGATACGATATCGGAGATACGCCGGCATTCGCCCGCCAGCAACGCCCCGTGTCCCGTGTCCGCCCGTGGAGTGTGCCGTCATCGTCAGGCTTCCGGGGGCCATTTTCACAGTGTGACGTGGACGCGGCGTAGGCGGGCAGAGGCGGAGGCGAAGACGAGGGCGGTTTGGGCGGGTACTGACTCGCATGGTCAGAGGACGACGAAAACGGGCAGGTGAAGCATGGCGTGCCACGGCTGATCTTCCCAGCAGTGAGACGACATGACAACAGCAAAGGGGAAAAAAGCTGGTGGTTGGCCCAAGGAGATGACAGAGCCAGTCCAAATGAAGACGTTTTGCTGCCGCAGCAGCATCGAACTGACTTGTGCTGAAGGTTTCGAGGGGCATGGTCCGTTTGACGTGGAATGTTCGTCCGTGTCTCATTCGGCTGAAATGGCGGTAACTCTCCGATGCGCAACGCTGAACCATACTCCATGAATCCCAGCTCAGCCACGGCATCTCCGCTGCCGGAACCTCAACTAAACGCAGCCTCCAAGACACCAGTTGGGCAGAACTGAATCAGAGTCATCATAATTTCATCAACGTAGAAAGGGAAAATTGCAAGTGAGGTTTCAAAGTGAAATGTAATTTGAATAGATCCAAAAGTTGACGGCCAATCCTCTCCATGGCGGCCGTATAAAATGACCATGCGCCGATACGCCGTGCGGGAGAAAGTGGAAGCCGAACTATCCTAAACTAGATAATGGTACACTTCGTCGTGTAAAAAAAGAATCGAGGCGAACAAAGACGCCTCGGATCGAGATGCGCGAGTGCCGACAAACATCGCCGCGGTCGCTACTGCTGCTTTCTGCATTACGATGGCAAACATCATGTCGAGATTCGCCGGAACTGTATCAAAAAGAATCCATCGTGTCGCGCAGAGGTCCCAAAGTGTGAAGGGGAACGTGCATTTGGAAGGTGTTGGTGATGTAGTCCGCCTCGCACGCCGGACCCTTCAGCTTTCGGTAGAATCCGAGCTGTATATTCCCGGCGGTTGGGTGGTGGACCGGTAAGCCGCATCTCGACGGGATGTGTGGTCGCGCGAACGGCCGTTTCGGCGTGGAGATGGGAAGACAGGATGTGGCGTGGTAGAGTTTCCTCATACACCGCGGATGACCTGGGTGCGCTCGGCCTCGAGCTGCGCAGCGTTGCGCTCGTGAGACTGCTTCTTGCACTGCGTTTCAAGGCAAGTTAGCACAACAGATCTTGATCTCGTAAGACGGTGCCGAGGCCGAGGAGCCAGGAACACTCGGGATCATGGGTGTAACTTACGTCTTCCAAGCCATCGCACTTGTGGTCCTCGAGGAGACGGTGCTTTCCGCAGAAGTGACCGTTGCAGAAGCCGCAATCTCCGACAATGCGCTGGGCAGCGTCCTTGCACTCCTTGAAGGTGCAGCGGATCTTCTTCTGAGGCATGTTGGGTAGTTGTGGTGTTGGTGACGTGGGTTGTCTTGTCAGGCCGTCTGTGGTCAGACGAGCAATGCGACGCTGTCTGGAGGAGGCAAGAAGAGTCTTGTCTGCGTCGAAGGGAAGGCTGAATGAGGTTGTCGACGACCGAGCTCGCTGGAAGACGAGGACGAGTGGACTCTGAGACGGGACAGACGGGAGTGCCGAAGGATGTGATGTGAGGTGAGGAGGGAGGAGGACAGGAAGAGAGAACGAAGGAAATGGAGGTGAGTAATAAAGGCAGAGGCAGAAGTTGGTTGGAGGCGAATTGTGTCAGTCGGTCAGTGATGATCTAATAAGCAAAGCCGGGTCCAGGTCCAGGCAAGCCAGGCCCAGGTCGAAGGCGGGAGAAGCGCTCACAATGACAAGACAACAAGACAAGGAACAGCGGCGTGGAGCAGGGGACAAGGTGGCTGGTGGAGCTTGAGACGGGGGGTAGGAGGGAGGGAGGGGGGCGTGTGGTGCCTTCTGTTTGGAAGTCGCACGCCCCTGACTTCCCTTGAGTGTTTACGCAGAACAGCACTATCCGTACATACATAGTGTGCTGCGTGCACTAGTAGGTTCCCGTCTGTAGCGGACGGTGGATGTGGTGGTGGTGGGCGGGATGCACCAGATGATGGATTTGCGGGTGTGTTGGGTTCCATGTTACCTACTACTGCAGAGGAGCCACATCCATTGGCAGCTAGCTTCTCATACAGTTGGTACACTCAGCATCCGACGACCCTCTTCAAACGGGTATGGCCAACACTCATGCAGGGCACTTGAGGCCCATCGGCGGCGCCAATGCAGGATTGATTAAACACACAACTCGGACGGGAGGCGTGACCAGAGAGCCCACCTTCGTTCAAGTGAACCTGCCCGGTGCGGTGCGGTGATTGCTTAGAGCCTCTCCTCTCCAATGACGGCGGTAAAGGTGAAGGCTCCGATGCAAGCTGTACCCGACTGCGTGTGCTGCGCAGCAATCTGCAACGCACGGCCAGACCACTAGCCATTCTCTATCCGTCTACTACCTACGGACCGCCGTGTCCACGGTGTCTACGCAGTAGTGTCATCCATGCCTACCTGCCACGCTGTGCTAAGGAGGCCGTTTGCTTTTCCGCCGCTTGCAGAACCCCGTGGAACAAATGAGCGATGAGGCAACGGAGAGATTTGGGCAAAGAGACAGAGAGGCCAGACCTCGTTCAGTGTCAAGTACGGGAATGGAAACGGACATGCAGGTTGGTACCAATGTACCGTACCGTATGTACTGGTTGAGGTCAACAAATGGAGAACGATAATCAAGGCTTTGGGTAATAAACAGGGCCCGTATGAGGTGAGGTGTCAGAACAGGCGGCCCTTTGTGCAGCCGGAACAGTGGGCTTGTTTCCCTGTCATGATGGGATAAAGGCAGCAACACGACTGCGTAAGTCAGCCGTGCCAACCGCGGTGCCTTAATTACGTATTGACTGAGGTGTACCGCTGAAGCAAGTCACTGGGTGATCGGATGGGGCGAGGCAACGCTGATGGAGCCCTGGCGGCGTGTGAGGACGGGGTCGTCGGGGGTCGGGGTCCATGGCGAGACGAGACACTGGGCGCTCTGCAATCCCGAGGTTCAAAGCCACCGGTACTGCGTAGTGTCTCCGTACCTTATACAAGACGGGAGGTAGCTGCTGCTGCTGGCAAGTGAAGTATGGGCGCTGGCCTGTGCCTGTGCCAAATGGGCGCCTAGGCAATGCCGATGACACCGTGTTGCGAGGCTCCGAAAACGGTCAAATGTCGTCGGGATGGACTGAGCTGGACTGGACTGGCCCTGCGCCGCTTCATCACACGGGTAGACCAGAGTCAAAGGGACCGCGTCCAAGGCAAAGGGTCCCGTCGTGCCGTTCTGAACCAAAGGGCTGTCTCCGTGTTTCTTGGTCTGTTTCCGACCCGGATCGATGGGTCGCTGCCGCCGGATCTGCAACAGAGCAGCGTGTCTTTGCGTGTGATCGCTAGCAGGCCAATCGTCAAAGCTGTAATGGCTCACTGCTGGCTGGCTGGCTGATGATGCTGATGAACATTAGCCAAAGAAGGGGCGGGGTGTGGTGAGACTGAACATCCACACACCGTGCCTTCCAAAGGGAGCTGGTCTTGACTTGTGGGTTGCGATGATGGTGGTCCATCATCCAAGCATCCATGGCAATTTGCAAGGCCAGGCGACGCAAGGTATCCGACAGGCGAGGTGATACGTCAGCGGTGGTTTGGAATTTGGCGAGATGAGGTGACTTTTAAGTGCCAGTGGCATCCGTAGCCGTAGTACGCAGTAGGCTCAGCAGCAGCGAGCGACTGTTGCTGGCCGGGGCGTGTGCAGCGTGCTTGGGGATTGAAATCCCGGTGCGAGTCAGGAATAAACAATAAGCAACAGCGAGAGTGACGGCGGGGAGTTGGACGATGCAGATGCAGAGTGCTGGATGCAGATCATCGACTGCCCACTGCGACTTCACTTCCAATTGTGTAAGCGGGCTGGTTACTTGCAAGAAAGAACCACGATGCGGATGGCCAGTTGCCGAAGACTGGACGGCAGGAGGCAAGACACGTGGAAGTGCCTTCCTTTCAGTCAGGCAAGGTAGGAGCAGGACTGGCAACACGGAAGGAGACGTCTGCCTCCAAAGGAAGGAACGAGGAGGAAGGCAGATCCCCAGACAGATCCAACCTGTAACTGCCTTGCCTCGGTCCACCTTGGTACTTATCCTGCCTGCTCTTCTTTGCCTCTATTGCCAACGCCTGCATCGACGGAAAGACAGCCCGGCTTCATTCATCAAGATGCATCCCGTAGCGTCCCGTTACAACTCCCGGACGCCGGCTATTCTACGATGCACCATTCACCAACCAACTCACGTTTGACTAGCTGCCTTGGACTATCTGTGGACGATGCGGAAGACATGCGCCACCCAGCGCAGCCAAAATAGACTTACACCAGCCGGGCAAGGACGCATTACCCATCATTACCACCATCACCACCAATACCTTACTTGGTGTCTACCTGGGTGCCTGGTACCAACGAAAACCATCAGCAAACCACTCCGCCGTATCAACTAGAGAGTCCGCATCGCCCTGCCCTCTACAGACTACATACAATGACAAGGCAAGGCACCGCATGGCGCTGCACTGGCAAGACTGTCGCATGGCCCCATGGATCATGGCTCCTGCACGACCGCGGCCTGCAGCAATGATCCCAGCCCGCCGTGCCCCGACCTGCTCTTCGTTCGTAACCCGCTACGAAAATGGTTGGCGATGGATGGACGACTGACTTGCGTGTCAGCGCTTGGGGTTTCGTTGGAATCGCCAGTCGCCAGTAGCACCTCGTCGCTGCCGCCCTCTCCTTTCATCTTGCGCATCCACGCCCAACGTCCTCCCCACATGCTAGTCCGCCAGCAGCCTAGTATTCGCCATCATCGCAGCCTCCACAAGCTATGGAGTGCATCGCGCTCCAAACACTGCGATGAACCGTCCCTCCCTCAGCAGCCACCACTCCCCGGGTACGCCTCACTGTCTCGTCTGCTCTTTTACACTTCTTGACGGGCTGCAGTGACGTGCAAACAAAGGCTAGCATCAAGTCAAGCATAAGGCAAAGTTGCTTTTAATGGAAGGATTAAGCCTCATGCGACCCCTTACCGGCCCGAAGTCTTTGCTTGGGCAATGTCTGCAAGGAATAACCTCGTCCTCCGTTTTGTGAAGAATTCTTTTGTGAATACTTGTATGACCAGGGATACATGAGAGGACCCCCCTACTCCAACCACCCCCTATATATCTAACCGCCCTATTAACTACTACTACGTTATAGCGATTATATATATATCCTTAAGTTCCTTTAATAGGGTACTATACTTTAATAATATGAGATACTTAATTTAATTAATATTATATAGCTTATTTATCTTAAATTTCGTTTTAATTTACTTAAAATATCT